AAGATTTATTATATCATTAATTTTACAATTTTCATTCACGTTTACAACTTTTTGTGTAAATGTTGACATTTTGAACATATTTTTGTGTTTTTCCATTTTTAAATTCTGCTGAAGAGACACTTGTCAAACATTTTTTCTGCCGATAGAAACATTTTGAAAATATTGACTATTTTGTTTGCAGTTTTCTGTAGAAATTTTAACTCGTGGACCAAATGCGTACCTCGAATGAGAGAGAAAGCAAAATTTACTTTCGTTTGAATGTACATACTCCATTCAACATTGTAGTTTTCATTCATAATTTTCAGTCTTCCCAAAAAATTTTAAAATTTCATTAAATTTTTCTATTTATAATTTTTAAAAGTCATAATTTATTTTTTCGATAAATGCTCTCATTTGTTAGGGATGGGACATATTTTTTCGTTGTTCTGAGAGTGATTTGATTTGAACAACGTACAAATATGAGTGTTCGCTCAGGAAATTTTGTGTGAAGAATTAGGTAGTTTTTTCATAGTTAAGGGTCAAACAACGAATAGAGAGCGAATCAAGTGCAGTGGAAACGCCACATTAGATTCTTTGATGTGATTTTTTTTTCAACTGATCCCATGAACTTATAATCGAAAATAATTGCAAAATGTCGATTTTGTAATTTTCACCATAGGCAGTAGACTTCGACGATTTCCATATTTTTAGGAAATGTATTATTTGGCAAGGAAGTAGTTTGGCGTATTTCTAAAGGCATATCACTAATTAAACGCTAGTCTTTAATTTTTAAGATTTTTAAGCCTTCTACGAAAAAAAAATTTAAATTAAGACCCACAATTGAATTCATTTTTTTATCCCACTAAGTTTGCAATAAATTTGTACAGTTATTTCAAATATTTGATAACGTTCAAATCACTAAACCGAGCAAAGCTACGGCAACCCTAACAAAACACTGTCATGAAATGTTATAGCAGCAGGCCGTTGCTGACGAAAGAAAACCAAAGCATATTCCAAAACTGCAAACGTAGAGAGCAGAAGAATGAAATGAGAATCTTCGCAGCTTTCTCTCACACACAGAAAAACAAAAACTTGTGCAAAAGCAGTTCCATTCATATTAGACGCGAGCACAAACATGCACACACACTCAAGCTCCGCCGAGACCAACCGACCGGCTTTTTTATTTGTGTTTTTTTTTTATTTTGCCGGCTATGTTTTGTTTGCTTATTCGTTATGGTTTGATGTGTTGCTGCTGCTCGGCGTTTGACAACAACATTTGTGGCGATGCTACGTCGAGGTTGACGTTGTCGTATCTTAGCTCTGCTCAGCCAGTTCGATAGTATTTTGTCAATTCTTATTGGTTTGAATGTGCAACATGTTCGACATCGCTTTGCAGTACCTTGTTCCAACTAGTTGGAGGGGTAAATAGTTAGCGAATCGAATTGGTTTGATGTTGCCAGTATGGCTTCCGGCATGAAAGTGAATGGGTTGCGTTCATGAAAATATTTACTGTTTGTAGGTTTTATTTTTGATGTCTCTTCAGTCGTCGCTGAATGTTGTGAGGAGTTGGTGGGAGATGACGGTGTTCTATTTGATAGATGATATCTTGCCGAGTTTCATTCGAAATGTGTGAGGTTAATTTCGATTTGCAGTTTTTATCGAAACAAATTAATGTTTTTTTTGTTATTCATTCCATTAGATGCCTATTACAATATTCTTTGACAAAATGTGAATTTCATATTTTCTCAAAGATATTTTACACAATGATAACTGACAACATCTTCGTAGCTTATATGAATTTATTTTTTTTTATAAAAATTGTAATACATTTTATATGTATACATAAAAATGCCGACTACTGGAACATACTGACCTAAGGAGTACTTATCTCACATATTTAGGTCATAATAAAATCGAATACTTTACTACTCATGTTTTACATTCCACCATACTTAGTTGTCACTCTGAATTCCGCAAAATATGAATTTTAGACTTCTGTCTGTTATTAAGCTTCTGTCTGTCTATGAAGATCACTCGAGCTTCCGAACAAAATTAAGGTCCGTAGAATTTCTGTGTTACAACACCCCAAATTTTAAGGTCTTGAGGGACTAAGTTCTTCGGTTAAATAAAATATATTTCAGCAAAATCGGCTGCTTTTAGATACATCGCTCATAATGTTACCTCCATATATAAGGTATTTGGATAATTTTAGTCATATTTTTAAAGGAATCGTCTTTATTTTATTTAATGTTCGGAAAAGGTTCCACCACCTCTGGCACAAGGATTTCTATTGTGGCCACTGTTTTTCGTATAACAACCATATAACGGAACCTCCGGATGTTCGGTGTTTTGGCTATTGAAACCAAGTTTTTCAAACAAATTGTTTTGGTATCACCTCCAATATCAGAAAGTTGATTACGAACGAAACTTTCAATATTTGATATGTTGGTGTTTTCAGTATTTTCAGTATTTTTAAAGTAATTGTTTGATATTCTGTATTTGAAGTTCAGAATGGGAACCATCCCTTCATCTATCGAATCGCCTATATAAATCCAGGTGTTTCTATAGCCCTCATATAAGAGTATTTGATTCTAGAAGGTCTTTTGCCGACAGATGTATATCCTCAGCCAATGTACGATTATTTAAAAATATTTTGACTTCTGTTATGATTATTCAAATGTTTAACCACTTATGGAGTAGGTTCCGAAGGAATGGGCATTGGTCATTTCACAGATATATATCATCTGCACAACATATATTGTGTTAATAAAAGTATTTGTATGAGTGAAATTTGAAGAGTGTTGATTGCTTCTTTGAGCGTTTTGTTTTTCAAAATCTTGAAACATATGTGGGCCAGGTAGCAAAAGAAATGGTCCGATCTCTGACATCTTTATAACAGATCTTGTGTTGATGGAAATATTGAGATGTACCAAGTTTTGAATTGAATCGGATGTTAATTTCGCTTTTTATGAGCTTCGTGGATATTCAAAATTTTGAGCCTTTGTGGGGGAGGTACCCGAAGGAGGGAACCGATACCGAACCATATTCACAACAGATCTTTTGCTAGTGGAAATATTGGACTGTGTGAAATATAAAGATGGCCTGACGCTTATGTCGGATTTAATAAATGTTTTGGTTATTCAAAACTTTGAACCAGAAGGAATGGTCCAATCTCTACCGTTTTTATAACAAATCCTTTCTTGATAGAAATATTCAGATGTGCCAGGTCTAAATGGAATTGGAATCATTAAGCTCCCGTTTTATGAGCTTAGTGGATATTTACAATTTCGACCTTTTGCGGAAGAGGTACCAGAAGGAGTGGACCGATATATTCCATCCTTGCATCACATTTTAAAAGAGTTGTAATTATACAAAATTTTGACCCTTTTTGGGAAAGGTACATGATGGTGTGGACAAATATTGCCTATATTAGCACCTGACGTAGCACTGACCTCTTGTGGGGGAGGTACCCGAAGGAGTGGACCGATATTGCCCATCTCCGACCTCGATCTAAGTTTGACAAAAATATTACGATGTACCAAGTTTGGACTAAATCGAATACTCCCTTCTAGAGTTATCGTGCGCACCATCCAGACAGACGGACGGACATCGCTAGATCGACCCAAAATGTCCTGAAACGGATTTGGTTCTAAAACCGTTGTTTCGACCAGGCACGTTTTGACCGTATCATATGATATATACCCTCTCTAGCCATATGACTGAGGGTATAAAAAGAAACTACTAAACCAAGATGCATGAACATGTATCTTACCATTTAAATTTTTATACCCTACACCACATAGTTGTATCCGATTGATATAAAATTTTGTAAACAATATTGGTTTGGCTCAAGGATGAACCCTATTGAAATTCTTTTGTTATGAGAGCTCTACTAAATGTGCATAGTGGTGTAGGGTATCATATAGTCGGCCCGCCCGACTTTTGACTTTTCCTTACTGGTTTTTATTTGATATCCCAACACTGTCAAATATATACTTTGCAGTTCATACAAAGATATGGGTGTACAACTGGCAAGACATTTACATTTATGTCCGACCAAATATTTTGTAATTTCTCCTCTAGGAAGAATATAATCTTAAATAGAGAACTAAATCCTAATACTTGACCATGGAATGTTTGAATTTATCTTTTTTAGTTTTACTGTTTTCAAAACCTGATAATTTCACTTAAGTCCAAAAAAACAACCATATTTGGGTGTCTTTCCACCACATTTCGGAAAGATTTTTTCATTTATTTTTTTTTTTTCAAATTTGGCACAGAACATATCTTATAATTTCACTTAAGTCCAAAAAAACAACCATATTTGGGTGTCTTTCCACCACATTTCGGAAAGATTTATTCATTTATTTTTTTTTTCAAATTTGGCACAGAACATATCTTATAAAAATAGGCTTAAATATTATTCCACTATAATACAACATTTAAAGTTATATCACAGTTGTCCTTAAGTACTGAAAATCTTACGAGTAAAATTAAATATAATAAACATACATATCACAGTTAATTTGGATTATCACAGATTGTTACAAATATCACATTAGTCCAAAGGAAATCCTTAATGCATTTTAAAAATTATAAAAAGGTATAAGCGAATATAATTTTACAACAAATTCAAGACAAGAATGCTTAAGCTGCTGTTAAAAACCATATTCGCATATAATTTTATAACTTCAAAATGTACAAATATTTTCCAGAACTAATAATAACAATTTTAAAACAAAAAATGGAAAAAAGAATGTATAAATAGTGTATCACAGTTAAAATATCACAGTTTAAGTTATTTTTATCACAGAAGCAAAATTATCATATATTCAAGAGAAGATGAAAATAATGCTAATTAAAAAAAGGAAAAACGAATTAAAAAAGGAAACTACACACATAACTAAAGACCAAAGATAAATAAAAAGACAAAAGAAATAAAATTTAAACAAGTCATTTTATTATTACTTATACACAAACAAAACAAATTTTAGAAAATCATATATATTTGAAATAAAAATAAAGTGTATGATAATAAAAGAATAAAAATTATTTAAAATGAAATGAAAAGTAATGTAGGGTGTAATGTTAAAATTAAAGAAAATCTTAAAAATAATAATATAGTTTTTACAAAAACGGAAATAATTAATAAAAAAACAATAATAATGAAAAACAATAACAAAAAAGGTTATAAAAATAAAAAAGTAATGACAACAGTTTAACGAAAAATATTTAACAATTATCACAGTTATTTATATACATATATTAAAAATATCACAGTTTTTGAGAAAATATCACAGTTGATCTACAAAATATCACAGTTTAAAATATGTAAATAATATAAGTATGTCGTTTATCCTCCGTAATAGTTGCTATATCTCTTTTCGTTTTTATTTGATTTTGGGCTCAAATATTGCCATTTTCTTTGGCAAGGCACGTTTTATAGTCCCATAATCACATTTATGGGACTTACTATGCTTGGAGCATATCAAAAATTTATGGTGTATGATGAGTCCATGGCATCCACTTTCTGGCATCTTTACACAGCAACCGTTTAAACGGTCCAAGTCTTCACATTTCACCGATGTTCAAAACATTATCGACAGGCAGAAATATTTTAAAAGTTTTAAACTTTTTTTTATCACATCAAGACCGATCACAGTTTTATTAGAAAATATCTACAATGAAAGAGAAAAAAGCTAATTTTATTAATAAAGTAAACGTTTATGGTAAATATGTATAAACATATCAAAATAAAAAATATCAAATAAAATACTATTAATAAATTTCACAAAAAAAAATATATATATATATATTTTGTCGCCATATAAATTTGAGAGTAATTTTTATAGGAAATCGAAATATTTCATATATTTTTGTCAATTAAAATATTTGTTAAAATAGATATAAATAAGTATATAAAATTTAGTGTGAGAAATTATGTATTAAAATAAAAATATATTTAATTGAAAAAAATATTTTTTTTTGACCCTTTGTAAGTTTGACAATATTATGAAGAATATAAAACTTTTGTAATGAGTTTTAGTTAAAACTTTTATTTTAAGTGAGAAAAAAAATAACGAAAATAAATAATAAAATGGTTTATATTTGCAACTCAAATCATTTATGAAAATTTATTTAATTATATTTTTTTTTTAATTTTTGAAAATAAAAACTTTGAATTTTTGAAAAATGAATATTTTGTCGGAGTATAAATTTTAAAATTTATAATTATTTATTGTTAAATTAGAACGATAAAAAAATATCAATATAACATAATTAGCCTTTTTCGCTTTGATTTAGCAACAAAACATTCGAGAATATTATATTCATTTTTATTAATTTTGACAAAATAAATAAATAAAATAAAAAATTAATTATAACAAAAATTTTAAATCATAACAACCTGAGAAAACTTTCGCCAATTTTTCTTGTTTCGTAGATTTTATTTTTTTGATTTTTTGGAAATGAAAATGTTTTTACTTTTTAATTAAAAAAAAATAATTTAAATATATATTATGAGCATAAATTTTAAAAAAATCGTTTTAAATTTTCTTAATTTTGTTTGCCTTAAAAAAACAAAACAATTAAAAGATGTTCACTAACAATAATTTTTTCACGTTAACAAAAATTTTTGAAAAGATATTTTCATGTTCTTTTTTAAATTGTTTTATTATTTTTAAAATTTTATTAGTGTCTGTAAAAATTTATTTATGACAAAGTATTTTTTAACTTTAAAAAATGTTGCATTTAATTTATAATTTTTTCACTTCAAAAAAAATATATATTTTCAATTTTTGTTCTTAAATTTTGGTATTTTTAAAAATTTATTTATGACAAAGTATTTTTTTAACTTTAAAAAAAAATTCATTTAATTTTTCTTTTTTTCTTAATTTTGAATATATAAATATGTTTTGCAAATTGTTGTTTTTAACAAAAAAGGGGAACTTACCACATCCTTTTTTAAAACTTCTTCTCCTCACATAGTAAAATCCACCTTTTTCCAGTGTTAGCCCAACAAGTAGAACATACAAGTTCTCCCATAGTCCTTTGGTAGTAAGCCTTGCGCCCTAATGTGGGATTCTCGCATATTCCCTTACTGTGCTACACGACGCTGTTAGTTATATACAGCACAACTTTCACTAGGTGGACTTATTTATTTGTTATCCGAGATTTCTAATTGGTAGAAAGGCTATCAGATTCTGTTTTAAGCTTGGAGCTTATATCACCGATAAAATCACAGGAGAGAAAAATTTCACCTTAAAAGAGATAACAAACACACAAAATGGAATTAAAACAAAAATTCACAATTATTTTTTCGTTTACGATTTTTGGAGTTGTTGTTCTTATTCTTCTATGATAGCTACGAATTGAAGCAAAAATCAGAAAACAAGAAAAATGTACCTTCTTCTCGTATCCTTTTTGCCCAAAAGCAACACCACACCACACTCCACCACAGTCAGACTGTGACTGAAAATTCGTTGTAGCTGAAGGATTAATGAAACCTTCGTTGCGAGGAAAAACTTGGCAATTTTCCCAACAACCACACGGCAAGAGTTTGTTTGCTGGCCAGCGAAGAGGAAAATTTGCGCCAAAAAATTTTCCACCCCAAAAAAGGAAAGTTAATGAAACATTTTCATCCTCCCCAGCTAACCCAATCCTCCAATAAGAATCCTTGAACCTGAAGTGAAATGGAAAAATTGTCTAACAGCCAAACAAAAAACAAATTATCATTCATGTTAGAAGAAAACTCACTCACCCCTATTTGGGGCTGCCTTGTCGGGTTAGAAGGTTAGAAGGAGATGTTGGCAACACCCACCCTTGGCTAGGGAACCAACCAACCTTAATAGATATATTCTCCCCCGACTCTAGCAAAACAAAACGCATTCAAATAAGAATTCCATTTGGGATTTTTTTCTTGGGCCAGGCATTTGCAGCAACCAATGCCGTGAGTAGGGTGAGGGAAAAATTCAATGATGCCACCATCGCCACCACCAGGCAGTCACCCTTAAAATGTACAGAATTTTTACAATATTCTAACCAAATGCCTGCTGCCGAGAATCAACGAGAGGGCCAGCACATTTTAGAGAGCGAAAACACATTTGTTTTTTTCGTTCTCTCAAATTGCATACTCTCTCTCTGCCAACCGGCAGCACACAACACTGAGCAGAGTGTGTGCCGCCAACATCATTGTAAAGCACATGTTTGAACTGACGTTGACGTTGGCGTTGCCGCCGCAGCTACTGCGCCCCGGTTGGGTAGCTTCATTCACAATTTTTCTTGTGAATTTTTAGTATGAATTTCGCTTTCTGCTGAACAAGTTGTGTTGAATTGAATGTGAGAGAGTTCGGAGCGCGCTCGTTAACAAGAACAACAACAACAGGAAAAAGCAAGCGCAGCAAATGTGAAAACAACAACAGCAAAACTTATTGCAATAGCGTTTTCTATTCAAAAAATCACCACCAAAAAGAATCCGCATATTTTTTTGTATAGAAACAAGCGAAAACAAAAAAACAACGACAACAACAAAAGTTTTGGAAGTGAAATAACAAAACACAATTGTCGTATAATCAAAAAAAGAAAAAAACAAAAAGTAAAAAGAATTCCTACTAGAACGAAAAGCCAAGATAAAGCAGAAACAAATAAAATCAAAGCAAAAAAAAAAAAACAAAATACCAACAATCAGAAAATCAATTGCATGCATGATTTTTTCGGGTTTATTAAAACAATAACACCAACAGCAATAAAAAACATTAGTTCGGTTTTTTCGGGGTACGCCTACATCCAAATCAATTAATTTGTGGGGAGAACAGCCCATACAACAAAACGCTGGAATAAAGTGCAAAACAAATTGAGAACAATCTAAACCACCAGACCAAACAAGAAATTGCAAAACCATTTTTGTGAAATCAAAAACAAATTATTGCCAAATTTTCTATTCAAACACGAAAAGAGCAAAGAAAAACGTGCACAAACCTTATTTACAAGTGCTGTGAGTGCTTTCGTTTGTTTGTGTGTCGCGTTGTGCTGTGCTGTAATTTACACCTCATTCTGTTCCAACGCGGGACGGACAGACCATCATTGCTAATACGGACAAAATTAACTGTAAATTTATGGCATTTCAAAGCAGAGGAGGAATACACAACCAAACTGTAGTGGCAGCGGCACAGGCAGTGGTGGGCAATCCTTGAAAATCAGCAGCAATAAAAATTACAATAACAACAATAATGCAAAATCTTTGAAAATTCATCATCGTTGATTTATCGAAAAATAGCCATAGCCTCTCCGTGGACTTTTTTCACCAACAATTGAAAGAAAACAAAATAAATTTATTTTCTTGTTTTTTGACAATACCAACCAGCTTTGTTGTTGCTCCAGCCAGCCGCTTTTATTCGATTGAATTTTCTGGCCCCGCGGCCGCAACATATTCGCGTGTGTTTTTTCAACATTCACGAACTGCGTGAGTAAGTGTGTGTGTGTTTGCTAGCATCTACAATGAAGAAAAGTCATTCAACGTTGAAAATTTCTATGGATTAAAATTTATTGAAAAAAAAAAAGAAAAATAAAAAAACAATAATAACAATAACATTCACCCAATCAAGAAAAAAGCAATAGCAACAACAATCATAGCATCAGCAGCAGATATTTGTTGATTGTGTGCGGCGAGATTTTTTTTCACATCACAACACAGTGACCGGTGCGTAAAAAGTGACAGTTGTGTGTTTGTTTTTTTATATAAATCAATCAAAGAAAAACCAAAACAAACAACAAAATGTGCCAGACAATGTGAATTTGTTGTTATTATTAATCTAAAAAGAAAGAAAAAAATCAGTGGAAAAAAGTGAATGCAAGTGCAGTACAGGTATTGGTTTGTTTTGTTTTGTTTTGTTTTTGTGCGAATAATTTCATAATTCAAATGTCATTTTTACACTATCCTACAAATGCATGGAATTTTCAATGAAAGTGAGAGTTTGTAGTGGGATTTTTTTGTTTAATGTGAGAGTGATGTAGGTAGGATACAAATGGGTTAGAGGACAATAAATGGGATTGAATATTGAATTTAGAGGTTCTCTGGAATACTACTTACGTCCAAGATGTAAATTTCAAAAATACAATTTTTGGCAACATTTTTGGTTTATTCCAGAACTCCAAAAATATTAAAGTTTTTACTACCATAACCAATTTTTCCCTTTAAGATATCGGAAAAAAAAAATGAAAAACCAGTAATTTCTTGCAGGTACTTGAACAAAGCATTTGTGATATTTTTGGCTGTTCCAGAACCTGCAAGAATCTACTACTTTGGAATTTTTTCGATATCTTAAAGGGAACTTTGGTTATAGTAGTAAATAAATAGACCACCAGAAAATCTATTTTTGGAAGATTATAATTAACAAAAACATTTTTAAAATAATTTTTTAATTTTTCTGAAACCGTAGCATTGCGTGTGCGATTAACACTTTCGTCTGTCTATTTTTGCTAATTTTGTTTTTTTTTTTTTTTACTTGAAATTTTGAACAACAAAAATCTGAAAGTTAAGCCGAGTTTACATTTATAATATCGAAGAAAATTGTAAAACTAGTGGATTCTTGCTGGGACAGAGGGAGTATACGTATTTTATTTTTGCCATGTTCCAGAATTTTCGAGAATCTGTTATTTTGGAATTTTTCTTTTTAATATCAAAAAGGGAAAATTGTTTATCTCACTTTATGGCAGAGCATTTATTTCTTCCCTTTTTACCATGTTTTCGGTAAAGTTTTTTTGGTGCCTACAGGGATAGGCTCATTAGGATTTTCGTATTTTCAATCGTCCACCATTCCGAGTGGAACATTTCAATTATTACAAAGTTAATTTTTTCAAATTCGAAATTTTGTATAGTTTTGCAATAATTAATTTTACCTTTTTCTTAAATTTCATAAATTTGGAGTTTTATTAAAATATTGCTTTTTTGCCAGTAGTCGGCACCACTTGCCAATTGTCGGTATGACATGTTCCAACAGTCGGCATACCGATTTTTTTTTGTAAGGATAACTAATAATAATAAAAAATTAATTTATTAAAATAATATATTTTTGTATAGTTAAATTGTACACAAAGTTAGCTGACATGAACTGCAGGAATCTACTAGTTTTGATTTTTTTTTCGATATAGCAAGAAAATCGGTCATCGTATTTGAAAATTTTATATTCTTGTAGTGCTGGAACATAATAATAGGTAGATATATTTTGAAACTTCTGACAACTAAATTTGCTTAAAAAGACAAAATTATGATTTGAAATTCACAAAATCACAATATACTTAAAACTGCTAAGTTTTGACCTGTTCACAAATTGAAAAAACATTCTAGTTTTGCATTTTTTCCCGATATTATAAAGGAAAAATCGGTTATTGTAGTAAGAAGTTTTACATTCTTACAGTTCTGGAACAGAGTATTTATTGTCAAATTGTTGTTAAAAGAAGTCTTCTTAGCCGATCTTATATTGGCTTGGGACAAGTAGTTTCTAATATTACCCATGCCACAATCTCAGATGTATTAAACTTGGCCATTCTAGAAGATAATTTTCACTGATAGGCCGAAATGTTCATAATAGACCCTACAAAGTATATATATTCTGGAACAGCGTAAAATTCTAAGATGATCTAGCGATGTCCGCTTGTCTATTGTAATTACGTTACCTTTCGAATCAATTTATATAATAAAAGGCTAAAATTGTGCATACATGCATAGTTTGCCAGTAGGCAGGTTAAGTTCGTAAATGAGCCATGTCGGCCTACGACTTCGTATAGAAAGATCCTAATGGGTCCTACAACCTAAGACTAAATTGTCTCTGCAGGCCCATGTTTTCGGTACCTCCCGATACTCGGTATTTTCATGATTTTTGCGACATTATTCACCGTAATTGTAACAAATTTTGCATTTAAAGTTCCTAATGGGTACTACAGCCTATGACAAAATAATTCGTATATAGGTCCACGTCTTCGTATAGTCCTCGTATAACGGTTTTGATTTAAGTGGTAGTTTTCGGATATATTTTTTCAAAAATTTTCAATTTCGTTCAAAATGGTGGAGGGTATTAAAAGCTCGGCCCAGCTGATATTCTCTTCTCCAATTGTTTTTTTTTTTTGTGAAAATGCTTTCAAACTATCTAATTCAGCTTAATTTTTAATTCCTGATAGAAAAAAATGGGTCAATGGGAGTTTTATTTTAATGCTTTTTTTGATAATTACTATGGCAGGTGCTTGTGGTAGTTAAAATGTGCATCCTGTTTGGTCTAAATTAAAAAAAAAAAAAAAAAACTACAAAATATACTTATTTTATAAAGAAATACACATAAGAGATAAGTACTTCTCAGAAATAACTTTTTATAAGACAGAATTCAAATCCTCTTTTGGAACTGTTGAAAAACTATGTGTAAAATGTCCTGACACATATGCCAGGCCAGAAAAAAATCGGTTTTTTTTTATCGAAAGCCAATTTCTTGAGATGAGCGGTATGTAATATCCGTAAAGCTATAATTAATAATGATTCGAACG